CAAGAAGATATTCTAATCAACCTTGATTCTGACTGTTCTCCTTTAAAGTGTTTCAAAGTTATTTAGAGTTGTTTAAAAGAATAAAAAAAAATCAATATAAGCTGGGTTATTTATAAAACTCATTTACTTGACTGTAGTTGTTTAGGGTGGGGGAGGGGGATGTTTGTTGAGGACAAAGCAGGCGTAAAGGGATTCAACTTATGAAAGAAATAAAATAATGTGGCAGGAAGAGCTGTAATATTAATGCTGTCTTATGAAAACTCCAGGTTTCATATTTAAAATCTAACTGTATACCAGACTGGTATGCTTTTTGTAATATAAAACTGTGGGCAGAGAGATTAAGGTCATTTATAGAACATAGCTATATCTCGCGCTTTGTAAAACAAATCAAAACAAAGAAATGCAATTGCAATATTTGTTGAAAACTGAGATAAGCCCACATTTTTTCCAACTCTTCTCCTTTAACGCAATCATCACAATTTCCTCATTACTTTCTGTAGGGCATACACTTTTGTCAGGTGAAATCTATGTCAAAATTCTATATTAAGGACAACTTCAAATGTGCCTTTAGTATCTCTACTTCTTTTTCTATGTCTGTTTTCTTCTGTCTCCTTGACCCCCAGTCGGCCTTAGCGGATGGCCGCTCACACTGTGCTAAAGGTTTCTTCCTGTTAAAATAGAGTTTTTCCTCTCCACTGTTGTTACAAGCATGCTTGGTGTGACGGACTGTCTTCTAGTCAATGAGTCGATGCAATCAGCTGGTTTTCCTTAGATAGAAAACTTTGAACCAATCTGACTGTATGATCTAGCTGAATTGTCTCTGTAAAGTGCTTTGAGGTGACGTGTTGTGCTATATAAATGAAATGAAATGAATTGGGAGCCCATTCAACTGTGCAGTTCTGTTGTTTAATGGATTTCACTTCAAATGTAATTAAAAAAAACAAAGACACATTGCAGCAAAGGTGTTTTTTTTTTTTTTGTGATTGTGAAATTGAACCCATTAATGCTGTTGATGATTACTCAGGAGGAGCTGCAGAGATTCGCAGCTCAGGTAGCTGAAGTTGTTCATAGGACAACAAGTTGGTTTCTCCCCAAGCCAGGGATTGAAAGAAAGCTGGCGGCAACAAACAGTTTGTTACAGAAACTTCTTTAAACTGTTCATTTTAAATGTTTCTTTTAGAATCTTGTATTCTTTTTTGTAATAAATCCTCACATTTCGGAAAGTCACACTTCCTACTGTTAGAGATTCATTTAAAAGAAAAAAAAATGGTGAGGAGCTATTTTTTTTCCTCCTTTATATCCAATTAGGGTACATTTTATCCTCTGTGCTACTTATTTAATCTCTGCTAGTATGAAAACCTGTTTTAGCCCATTACATTCCATTAGACCTTCTACAATGATCAATACTGATAAAAAAAAAAGTTATTCAGTCATAGAGATTCCTGTAATGTTAGTTTATTTAGCTTGATTAAAGCCGCCCCCATTCAAGGGAAATTCTTATCTGTTGCTCATTTGTCCTTGACTGGTTAGTTGTGCAAACTTTGCTCTGTTGCATGTTGGCTGAACTCTCAGTTGTGCTTCAAACCTAAGGATCTTCACAGTACAAAGGAGCACTTTGTCCTATTTTGAAAAAAACTTGTTAGTTTTAGTTGTTATGTGTCGCTTTCAATGATTTATTTGAATCATCACTCAATGCATGTAGTGAAATATTTATTAACCTGCTGTAACACTGCAGCTTTTCAGACTACTTGTCTGATGAATATTGATGTTGATGCATGAGCAGCGCTATAGGTTCCATAATCCTGATTGTTTTTAATCCTGTCCATGCTTGCACCCTTGAGGTGCTGGGCTGAGTGTCATCCAACTGTTTTACACCGGTGACGCACACCTTTGTTTGTGTAGCTGTGACGTGCGGCGCTGACTGCAGTCGTACGATCAATACTGACACACAAATGTGACTCCCTGCATGAGTTTGAGGGTAGCATTTCTTTGTGTGCAAGCACCTCTGCTAATCCAAATACCAAAGTAGGGCAGACTTTGCTTTTCTTTTAATGGCTTGTGAAGAATACCGGAATCAGCGAGAGATTGAAATGCTCAGAAAAAAAAATCACATTTTTTATTTATGCAAAATTTTCACATATTTAGGTGCTCTCATAGTGTCTTCTATGTATGGGATTGAAATAACCATTTTAATTAGGATAATAATCTTTGCTAGTTCGGTTCTGTGTCACAGGAGGTGCCTTCTCCTCGTCACCTTCAGTGCAGCTTTTTTAGCACCTTGTGTCCAGTAGAAAATAGCTCTTTAGCTCTCCAGGTTATCTATAAGTAGCTGCTCCAGCTTACCTGTAACTATTAATTCCCTGAGATTAACCACCTCACAGGCACCTGTGGTGCGACTGCTGGTCACGTTTTTAGGAAAATCTTTACTTACTTCACTTTTTAAATGGTGAGCTTGAAAAAAAAGCAATGGGAATATTCATGTCAGCTTTAAAAGCTGCTGCTGTTGTTGTTCCCTTCGGCCAAAATTTTCTGTCCCTTGATATAAAAATAGTTGAATCTCTGCAGTCACTTTGAAGCCCCTCAGATACCGGAATCCGTACACCCATCAAATTAGTTTTTATCTGATTCAGGAGTGGTTAACATTTGAAATGTGACAGTAATAACATTGTTTAGTGACTCCTGAAGCTAAGACTAGCTGTAACCCACTACTTGTAACTCTAATTCAAATCTTGAATGAGCTTCCATTCACAACCTTCTCATGTCTGAGATGAGCCTTTTGCTCATAATCATTCTTCAGCGTTGTTTTATTCCACTAAATGTTCTATTAAAATGCCTTAATACAACACTTTCTTATTTGTCAGCTTGTTATTATTCAGCAATGCCATTCTGTAGCTTACTGTCCTTTTGAACAGTGTCAAAGATACCAGTTTTTTAATAGCTCCTGTGTAATGTAATCTGAAAGGCTCAGTATGCAAAACTTAATCATTCAGATTCATTTAAACACAATTTTGTAATATAGCATGGATTTTTAAATGATAAAATCTGAAGTAAATTAGCTAATAGATAAAATTTATATAACATGTGACACATTTATGATGTCTGTTTCTTTCAGATGTACAAGAAAAATGTGATAGCAGAAGAGTTTTGCACTGCTCTGTTTAAATGAATGATTAAGTGTAACATATTTATTTCCTAACTTGTATTAGTTAATAAGTGCCTTAACATTTTTTTTTTATTCTTCTATGTCTTTGTAATAGCAATTCAGTGACTAAAATTGCTCATTTTTGTCAGATGTCCAACAAAGAAATCATTCTGCATGTATTTTTCCCCCCCCCGCAACTCATTTCTGGGTTAGTTTTCAGGTCCTATTACTATTCTGGGCTTTCATGAGTCTTTTATGATTAGAGCTTGTCTCCCCCTAGTGGCATGCTCTTTTTCCAGCGGCATACTTGTGAAACATGAATACACAAGCTTGATGAAGTTTGAAGATTTTTTTTTTTTTTCATGAATAATTGGTTAAAATATAAATCACCAGTGCAGATTACAATTTAAATTTGTGCAAAGTTAGACGCTCACTTCACCCAGATGATGAAAGTTTTATAGCATAAAGCAATTAGATAAGAATTTCCCCCTCAGCTGGGATGACACTTCTTGAATTCAAATGTGCCTAGAGGTTTTCTAAAGGGCTTTGAGGATGGATTCGTCCTCCCAGGACTTTTCTTTTTCTTATCTTGCATTTTAAATACATTTGAAAGCTAGAAGTTTGAAATGTGGTGAGTTGAGAGCTGATGCTGGATCCTTGGTGCAAAGTCCTAAAGGGAAGGAGTTCAGAAGTGTAATGGGCAGGTTTGTGCCTGTGCCTGATTTCTCTGTAGATAAGGCTAGTTGGCCAGAACAATGTACATAGTCAAGACTGTCTTTCTGATAAGGCAACTGGGCAAAACTAGGTAACAGTACGTGTGTTCTTTTGTATGTACATCGATAAACATACCCACCTACAAGCATAGACGATGAAGATAGGGGAGAAGTGAGACAAGGCATCAATGTTAGTGCTGTTTGTGCATGATGTCTCTTTTTCATTTTTTGTCTTTAGAAATATATTTCATTTAAAAATACTTTATTAATACCAAAGGGAAATTCAATAATGTCATAATATCCTTAGAAAAGACACATAAACTTGAAAAAAAGAAACTACTTATAACCCTTTGCATCATTGTGATGTGGGAAGAAATCTATAACCTGTTAAGACCTGTTAGACATGTCAGTAATAAATGTATAAAACATCTTAAAGCAGGATTACAGTAAAAAAAAAAAAAATCAAAGCATTTCATAAATGCTTTGATGTTCCATTTCAGGTAACGGAACCTCAAACAATCGTCCAGGACATCTGATACACTAGGAAAGGACGGAAATATAGGAAAGAATAGCATAAATGTGTGAAAATCGTGGTGATATGTAGCTCAGGGAAAAACGTAACAGGTCAACTATGTGTTTAGTTCCTTTGCTCCTAGTTTGGAATAAACTCCCAGAAAAATTAAAGTATATAGAACATTGCTGTTGATTCCCTTAAACAAGAAATTATGTTTTTGCTTATACCAGATTTAATCAAACAATCTAATGTAAATAAACTGTTTAAAAAGTTTGTTTCTTAAATCCATTTAATATCTGTATTTTGACCTATTTCTTTATTCAAGGCTTTTTCATTTATGCTTTTGTTATTGTCTTTCTCTTTCCTTTGATGTTCTTGAAAGCCAACTAGCCCTGCCTGTAGTCCTGGAGTCTATATATCTGGTCATTGTGGAAGAGTATGCATTTATTAGATTTGCCCAGACCCTAAATAAACTGGATGTTTTTTTATTTGCAAGACATAAAGTTAAGTTTTGCAGTGATATTCTATCTGTTCCTCACACTTTTTATTATTGTATTGCAAAGAACCCTTTTATATATATAAGTGCAACATTCCACACTTATGTGACCTGTATGTTTCTTTTGTCTGGCAGAAGATGACGTCGACTTAGAGGCACTGGTGAATGATATGAACTCGTCGCTGGAGAGTCTGTACTCCACCTGCAGTGGCCAGCAGACAGAGATAACACCACTACTGCACAATGGGCAGAACTCTTATTCACAGCATCACCACAACCATCATCATCACCACCACCATCATCATAACACCCATCACGGCCAACAAAGGCATCACCACTCCTCTCAGGTGCTGAGCCACGTCTCCCCAGAGCCTCACTCCTCCTCTTCGAATGTGGAACCCCCTCAGACTAAGCTGAGACGCTCACAGCCCATGCACATCCTAGCCGTCAGGTTAGTCGGGTACCTTAACTCTTCATGTATTCTCAAGAATCTGCATTTTATGTTTAACTTATAAACTTCTGAAAAGCTTTTGAAAGTTAACCCATAGTTTTACACCTCTCAGCTGCAGGAATTCAACAGGCAGTAATGGTAGATCTAAAGATGTTCCCCAAGCTTCCTGAACAAGCATTGTTTAGCTTGTACACTTCTGAGGAAAAATAATCCCCCAAATCTTATGCAGATGTGATTTCTTTTGTTTTGGGCGCTTTAATTCTAGTTTTTATTTAATTACCATTTCCTCTTCAAGGATATGTTGAGCTAGTAATGTTTTGAAAACATCTTTATCTAAGTTCTTTTTCTTATCTGTAAGAAAAGGACAATTGATAAAGGATTTTCCTTGTCCATTGTCAGAGATTAAAAGTCAGCACAGATGATGGTTGATCGATGAACCTCATTTATTTGTTATTCTTAGACCTTATTTAGCATATTAGTGGTTTTACAAATGGAATTGATATGCTATATAATATATGCTATAATGATATTAAACATTTCAGCCCTAACAGATGTGGAACTGAGTGTCTTGAAATTTGCCTATTTAGCACAATCCTTTGAAAGTTACCATATCACTTTGTAAGTAACCTAAAGTAACCTTCTCCTCCATCCTATAGGAACTACAGGGCATAATTGATAGAAAGTACTTATTTTAGACTGGTACAAACCAGGACCAGAATCAGGCTCAGAATTGTCAGTCAATTGAAATGTCTTGCTTGCAGAAAACACAAATAGTCAGGCACTGATGCTGTTGGCAATTAAAACCTGTTGTGTGAAAGAAGAAAAACAAAGTGAAAAAGAAGAAAGCATAAAGAGGAAATTTAAAAATGTGTTCTATTCCTCTTTATAAGGGCCACAGCACCCGAACTGACAACATGTTTAACTTGAACCAGACAGGATGTTATCCTAGCCTTGAGAGTAGACAGAATGTCTACCTATCTGTTGTAAGATGGGAGCTGATTCAGCAAAAGATGAGCCTGATTACTAAAAACTGTTCATTTGATTTTCCTCAGTATCAGCGTCAAATGCTCTATCAGGAATGTAAAGAACTTAGAGTTACTTAGGATAAGATAGAGCTTCGTCATCCATAACTTCATAAAGTAATTATGACCAAGGACCCCCCTAAAGATAAACTGAGACTGGAGAAATTTGATCTCTCCTTCTAGATATCATTGCAAACCCTTCTGGACATTTTTGGCTTTTATGCATAAGATGTAACACAGTGTACACCACACACTTACTCTCTTCAAATAGATTTATATATTTGTATGTGACTGATGCAGATTTGAAGAAAAATCAGAAGTGCCCCAAGCCAGCAAACTAAGCGATTACACAGCATGTTTCAAACCATTCCCCATTTTCCCAGTGACACGGAGTCAAAATGTAACTTGCTTCTTCTACAGATACAAAACATATTTGTGCAAACAAATATAATAATTTCATCCTTTGCTATTAATACTATTCTTAGATCTTTTCGAAAGTGTAGTATATATTAACCTCTGCCAAGGAGGTTATGTTTTTTGCCTTTAGTTTGTCTGTTTATCTGTCTGTTCTTTTTCAGGATAACTAAAAACATTATGGACATATTTTAATAACATTCTTATTAGAGATGCACCTCATGCCAAGGAAGATTATAATCTAGATTGAGGAATTTGTAAAAGATGCTCTATTGTTATGAGATATTTGGTGGAACTAGCAGTTCCCCACTAAACCAGAGGGTGGCAGCAGTGACTATTGATAGCTTCAGCATCAAACTCAAAAAGTCCGGAAGTAATTTACTGTAGACAAACCTACAAGAAAAGGGAGGGCTCTTGGTTTGTTAGCAGGATCAATTGAAAACCAGGGGTGCACCTTATGCCAGGGAACAATCCATTAAAATTTGGTAATGATCCAAATCATGTGCGAGTTTTAGCTATAGGTGTAAGTCAAAATATAGGGGCAAAATGTGTTTTTCTAGTTTCCTCATAGAAACCTTTAAAATAAAAGTCAGGTGTGACAGTCCTGGCGTACGAGTTCAAACTGTAACAAACTAAACAATTCATAAACCAGCTGAAATTCTTAATAAAATTCTGCAGAATATTTAAACTTTTTTTTTCATTATCAAATTCCAACTCCCAATGATATACAAAATGAGTCCTACAACAGCTCAACACCTTATTGTTACAAGGTATGAAGCATTCATACTGATTTCTGTTACATAATGGTGCGTAACAGATGCATTGGCTATGCTGGAGACCTTGGGGGGGAATAAGGAGGGAATGCGTTTTTCATGCATCACCAAGGTTTCCTGCTCTATGATGATGATGACTCTATTATGACCGGATTAAAATGCATGCTGGCTTTCATCAGGCCAAGTGACAGATTCAGAGGGTTGGGTCAAAGCCATACAAAAGTTGTTACAAAAATGTGGGTGGAACCCTGCCAATCCAAGGCAGGTTGCTTTCCAGCTTCTTTGCATGGACTGTTTATGGTTGAATGGGCGTTTAGAGGGCTGAACATGAAGTGGAGCCTTGTATGTAAACATTGAGGTACAGTTGTGATTAATATGGCAAACCTCCATTAGAATCACCATTTAGTTAATAAAGTTTTTGTTCAGCCACCCTACAAATAAGACAAGACTGGCCAAGTGCTGAACTGAGGTTCATCTTAATTAAATGTAATCTGTCTTTTCTCAGGATCAGTTAATTTGTCTTCACAATTGTCCTTTTTTACCTAGTTTAGCTGAGCAACTAATGAAAGACTTTTATGTCAGTTTTCTGTAACTTCCTAAGCTGCTTTGTGTACCTCACCTGCTACAGAAATATCATGTGTTGTCCTGTAGATCTGTTACACCATTTATCTGTAATTTGAACCTCATGGCTTTGTTTTGACTGGAAGACCTTAAGACAGAATTAGTGTGCCTTCTTCATGACGTCTAAAGATCTCACTTAAGCACAAGGGGATTCCACTGAAGGTTGTCAGATAATGTCTTGGTTGAAAGATCCACGAAACATCCCCTGAGATTTTCATGACTCATGAGAAAACGTAATGAAGGTGGATATGACATTTTAGCAAATTAATACTTCTTATTTTATTATTTTAAAGATTTTATTGTTCAGATTGATTTCATATTGAATGTTAACTTTAGGTTCCTTTACTTAAATGTATACCATTTAAATAATAGATTATGGGGGAAAGGTCAAAGACTTTTTATAGTTGTTTTTTTGTTTTGTTTCACTTTGTACCCAAAATAGGTACGCTAGACAAAACTAATTGACAGATGCACCAAATATAGATTTTAATCCACTTGGAAAAAATAAAAAGTCCCAACAATAGATTAACTTAAAATAAAATACTCAGAACATACAAATGCAGCATAAGCTCCAGATTATGGGAGAGAAAACTAAGAATACATTTCAGCTAAATGGATATGCAGAACCTCTCCTCAGTCTTTTTATTTTTGCATACCTTGTTTTTTGCATTCATACAACTTCAAATAAGACCTTGATGTGAAGTATAATTATTGATTTATACATGAGCTATGTCACGACCGCACCATGTGACAATGCAAGAGCAGTTAATGTTACACATCTCTGCAGTTAAGCAAGTTTTCTGTATTTTTATATAAACAATGACTACACAAATCTAGCATCTTAAAGTGTCTTTAACATCTTAAAGGTATAATGGAGGACTTTTGCAAATTTCTGTAAGCACATGCATAACCCTGTACCCGCTCCCGAGAGGGAACGCCTAATAAACGTGTGCGAGAGCTTGCACAAGCCCATTTCTCCTTGTGCACACAAGCTTACTTTCCGAAAGAAGATTTGCAGTTTTTTCACTATGTCAGACTCACCTAGCCTCGTGAGACCATCCTGATCTCGCGAGCTTTCAAGATTTCACTCGCTAATCAGTCTGGAGACTCTCCGTTGAAGAAAATTTGGAGCCATTCACCAAACGAACGTCCAATCAGCGTTGGCTTTGAGGCGGGTTAAGGTGTGACGCAACGAGAAGCGCGACAGTTCAGTCTAAAGAAAATGGCGGCTTCAGCCGATGAAACTAGCGTTAGCATGGCTATCGAGCAAGTTTTATCGGAATTACACTGTATTTCTTCACTGAAAGAAGAGCAAAACACTGCTCTGGAGGCTTTTCTCAGAGGAAAGGATGTTTTTGCTCTTCTCCCGACTGGTTTCGGCAAGAGTTTGATCCATCAATTGGCTCCTCTTCGTCGTTGCTCTGTTACGTCATATGCTTCGTTGATCTGATTGGTTTATTTGGCCCGTCTATCACCAACATAGGCCAATCAGCTAACCAGTATTTTCGCCCCTTCCCAAAGTTACTTCTACGGAAGGTTTCCAGATAGATATGCGGAGCAAATCCATCTGGCGGAGTCAGGTTAAGACTCACCATCAGTAAGTGAAAATTGGGATGAGCACGTAGGACCACTTATTTTGATGATCCACCTGGAAAAAGAACTTTTTGTAATAATGCAAAAAAGAATTGAAATGTATTTTTTGTTAAGCAAAGCTGCTCTGCTATAATGACCAGATATATAGACTGCAGGACTATAGGCAGGGCTAGTTGGCATTCAAGAACATCAAAGGAAAGAGAAAGACAATAACAAAAGCATAAATGTAAAAGCCTTGTTGATATAATTTTGTTTTCAACTGATGAATAATAGATGAGCAGCTTCAGAGTTCTATAGTTGTTTAATTCCAACACTCAATGGAAATTACATTTTTTTTTAAACTTAATTTGCATCGGCCTTGGGTTGTTGCTTTATAACTGCATGACTCATTTATCTTATCAAATATCTACAGCACAGAATATTATAAAAATATTAATGACATTTTAATTACAGGTGCATCTCATTCCAAATGTTAAAATTGTATTCATTAGACTCAGTCTGTTGGTACAAGGAAGTGATACCTTGACGCTCTAATTATTAGTAAACATTTCTATCGAGTAAAGGTTGTAGAAAAGGAATTGACTATTTTTTGGACGCAAAGGATTTGTGGGATTTATGTGAGATTCAGCCACTGTCTTGACACTGTAGTAGTGTTCTCCTAAAGAACTGTTTGCCTAAAAGCAGAAAAAGAAAGAGACATTAACCCAAAATGTTTAAACTTTCCAGCACATAATGAGGCAGAAATGCATAATGAGGTAGAAATGTATACAGAAATGTAAAAACGAAAAGCAGAAATAACTGCTTAGCGTTGAAGAAATATATAGGGTAAAAAAAATACAAAGGAAGAATAAAACAGACAAAAATATTATATCCTGCACATAAATAAATACTTTAAAAAATAATTAATAAATAAATAAAGTTGAAGATTATAATGGACAATAAATAAATAAGGTATTTATTACAAAGGCGAATAAATAAATAAATAATTTTTGTCTCACTGTATAATTTTATTTCTACTTACATTTATTTCTTTATTGTATTTTTGGAGGCAATTAACTGTATGCTTATTCATTTATTGAGCATTTATTTATTTCTGTATTTATTTTTAATTGTATTTCTGTATTTGTCCAATTATGCTTCATATTCACTTTTATTTGCTACCAACATATTTCCATTAAGCTCCTGCTCTATAAGCTCTATAAATTCCAAAAATAAGCTTATAACCTTGATAAACTGACACCACAGATTGGAATTTTAAGGTGTACTTCCTTGCTTAAAACCATCTTAAGACAACTATTTGTGACAAAGTATTCCAAAGTACATTTGTGCACTCAGCATTTTCAGTTACTGCTGCTGGCACAAAGCGGTGAACACAACCCTTTCTTTCATCAGTCATGGGGAAAGCTTTCGAAATCACTACCAAAGTTTTGGGAAAGTGGCAAAACTGGCTTTGAAATGCAATGAAAAAGCCCCTTATATCAAAAGAATATGGGGTACCGTTTCTGTTTGGGATTTTTCACATTTAGCACTAGAGTATAACACAGTGAAGCTATCATAGGACTGCATAGCTAGAAGGACAAAGAAGAGAAAAAGTAGTCTTACAAACTTCAAGCCTAAACTGCTTTCAGCATCTTTTTATTCATGCATAGCCATGCACATAAGTATATCTCAAATCCTTTTTTCCCTGCTCATTTAGGCATACATTTTTCTCTGCACGCTATCACCCTTTCACTCCCTTTTTTTTTATAATTGGGTATAACATTTCTTCCCTGTTTCTAGCCTGTAACCTGTAAATGACCCGTTCTTCCTTGTCACTCCTTTTTTTTTTTGCCTCAGTCTACACCAGCAGAGGGATAAGGTAAAAAAAAAAAAAAAAAACTCATTTTGTTTGAGTCCTCCTGAGGTGTGTGCATTTGAAAGTAGCTATTCTTACACACATGCAGGCTGCAGAACTCTTAACTCCCCGCATACATTAGACACAAACTGGTTCAAAGCGAAGCTTTTGTCAGTTCCTATTTTTCGCTCTCGGACAATATGAGGGAAACAGAGCTGGATGATCAGGTAATGGAGTATTCTTTCTTATGAGTGCTCTCTCTCTCTCTCCCTCACCCACACCTACACATGCATGCTTCGGAGTTCCTATTATACTGGACCGACCTCTGGATAACCCTACTCTCAAGCTCATATGGGACAACATCAAAAGGCCTGGTCCCTTTTGAACTCGCTGGGTTCTATAGACAAAGAGAGAAAAGGCTTTCAAAATGTTTTTTTTATTTTTCAACGTCCGATCAGAAATTTTACTGACTGACCCGCTGATTTAAAAAAAAAAGAAAAAAAAAGAAAAATCCCATCTGTCAATCCCTTTGAGGCTCACACTGCATCTGTTTTATTCAAAATTCTACTTTAGTGTGATGTCTTGATTTAGAATTGATGTGTGATAAATATTTAAGATATAAGTGCGCAGGCTGTGGGAGGCTGTGATTTCCACTTGCTTTGGGACTGTTCATTATGGCCAGATCAGACAGAAAAACAAATGAGGCTGTATGCTGCAGTGGGTCTCTCCAGCACTAATTTCCCATGTTTTAGCAGCTCTTTTGAAACTTTTCTCTTTTTACTTTTTTTTCGATCCACATCCAGATCATAGTTTGGGCTTTAGGTTGATGCTGTTGCTTAAATGACAAGCAAAACACTGCTAACTTCTCAAAGACAGACTCTGACATCAAGGTCTCTGTTTACTGTTGTTTAGGAAGCTTCAAGAGGAGGAGCAGCAGTTCAGGACGTCATCTCTCCCAGCCATCCCAAACCCTTTCCCTGAGCTCTGCAGCCCAGCAGGCTCCCCAGTCCTCAGCCCTGGGTCACTACCTCCTGGAGAGCCATCTTCAGGCAAACATGTGAGTCAGACATCATACAATATGCTGTTATGTTTAGCTGCATTAACTAAACATAACAGGGCCTCCTATATATCAGGATTTTGTTTTTTGGGGGGGTCATCCAAAAATAAACCCCAAAATGATATGAGTGCAGTTCCATTTCAATAAGGTATAGACTTTAATCTAATGTTTTTTGTGTTTGCTTTTTTGTGAAAAACCTTGCAATGTGTAGTAACTGCAGCTCAACTTTTGAAGATTTCATTTCTCAGAGTGCCACTTTAAGATATTTACATCACTTTGAACTTCTTTAGTTTGTCCCATTAACACAAATTACAATCTTTAGTAGTATTTCATGATGCATTAACACAAAATAGTGTATTACTTTGAAGGGATATTGTGTAAAAATGACTGTCATCTGGGTGTGAAATGGGGATGTTTGAAGTCAACCCAACCTTATACCTTCACTGGCTCAAACACGCACTGCGGAAACTGTAGCTGAAGTGTGTCAAAAAGCCTCGACAATGCAGATTTAACCATGTCATCCAAAGTGAATTAATTTTCTGTACACCCATGTACACCTGTAAACCTATGATTCTGTAAAGGATTGGTCTGTTTGCAGAATCAGCACTGTCTAATTAAACCAAATGGAAAGAGTTAGCTTTGCATTAAATTAGGCGGTAGAGTTCATGTACTTTGTCAAGGAAAAACATTTTAACATCCCTTTTAAAAATATATTTTTATTAGCTCCTTCAACTTGGAGTAAGCTTTACGGAGGATGCTTATCCTCGTTTTTCAATATCTTCATTTTTGTTGAATTTTAAGTTCTAATTTTTGCTTTCTTTTGGATGGTCGAACCATTTCTCATTCTTCGATTTTATATTCTTACCTGACAGGCATTGTAGTTCATCTGGTTTTCTACTGTTTTAGCTCGTCTGCTGGAACATGATGTACAATCATAGATGTTGTTCTGTACACCTGAGTTTTAATGAGTTCTTATTTGAGCTTGTAGGTAATCTGTAGCAACTTGTTTTTTGCATTAGTAGATGCATAAATGCAACATACTGCTGTCATTTTGGTTTTTTTATCGCAGCAAGCAGTAAAGCTGTGCCAAATAAAGTGTAAGTGTGTATAGTGGGTCACTTGATCTTTTTTTTTTTTATTATTTTGTATTTTTTCTTAGTGGAAAACCTAAAGAAGTGGGGTGTTTATTGCACATGCGTACCTGCACATGTCTGCATAGGCTGCTGTCCTATCTGTTACGGGAAGTCGGATCTCCCCACCCCCATTTGCACCGTTAATGGTCTTCACATGAAAGCAGCCAATTCTGGTTACGGCAATATAGTGGTTTACAGTAATACCAGGGCAGACAGTTTCTCATAAATACTCCCCCTGGCTGGGATCTGGGGCTTTTCTTTTCAAGGCTTCCACTACTGCAACCAAATACCAAACTACAGTTCCAGTTAGTTCATTTCAAGCCAAAACACAAGTCTGACTCTAACATGCACAACTCTTTCCCTCTCAGATGTCATCTCAGTTTTTTACTCTGGATTGATGAGCACACTTTATCCACCAAGGAACTCAAACTTGGAGAGTTTTAGGTTTATTAGAAGCTCTAAGTTGTGTTGTGTCTTTTTAGTAGGATTTTTTTTGTAGATATTTTGTTTTTTGTTTTGTCTTTAGGGATTTTTTAATCTTTAATTACAGACTCTGGTACAAAATCCACTGCTCAGGTTGTTCTTATGGTAAATAGGTCAAAGTTTATTGTAGTACAAAGTTGTTGTGAATTTAATGACTTGCTGTGCCCCGGTTGTAAATAAGTAAAACAGGCTAGGCTTGTAAATAATTAGACGCCAGTTTATGGTAGCTTGTGGCTCAGGATTGAGAATGTCATTCTCACATGGCCTGTTAGTAGCATAGTAAAAACTAGGGACTGAAGCGGATAAACAAAGGAGCTGGGGAATTACCAGCAGAGGTAACTGATAGACAAAATTTTACAGTAGTCACTCTAGATTATTATTAATGGCGTATCTCAGGGATGGATACGAAGTTATAAAAATTACCACTTTTGTTATTGGGAGCTTGTAGAGATTGGAAAAAACTTAAAATATCCAGTCAAATTTCGTTCTTTTTTCATTGGTCTCTGATTTATATCATTGCATATTTAAATTTTACTTTTAACTACAGTATATATGACAGCCTCTAATCGATATTGACAAGAAGGTGTAAGCATGTGACTCCCTAACTCCCATTTTTTAATTTTTTTTTATTTTAGTCATGTGTTTATTTTCTAGAAATTAATATTTGTGCCAGTTTGTTTTTTCAGGTTTTTGGGGGTTTTATACTTCTTAAAAGTGCTGATCCATTCCAAGTGTGTGAAACCCTAAAGAGATTTTTTTGTGTATGTTGCTTCCCAACTACAACCTAGCTCCAGCTTACAAATGCAGCTCAACTTTTATAGCGTTCTCATATTTCTATAAAGCTTTTCTTTTTTCAATCTTTAATATTATGTAGTTTAAGGAAATATTAAAATAACCTCTTTCCATTTCTGCCCATTTTGTTGTTGTTTTTTTTTAAGTAAAATGTGTTTTCAAGCCAAAAAAAAAATAAAAAAATCATGCCTCAATATCTTAATTTAGTTAAAGTTCAGGTACGTGCCACGCTTTTTATATGTGTTTTTAAGTCATTCAGGGTTGGTCTTTTCTGTGAGCTTCAGATTATTTTCCTCACTTTTTAACCCAACTCAAATTGAGCTTAATACACTAATGTTTTGAGCTTCCCTTTCAGTATTTCCTGTTAGATAGAAGAATTCAAGGTACGTTCAGTGATGGAAAGTCATTACAGCCCTGAAATGGCAATGCATATTCAGATAATCACCAGGCTACCAATATGTGTAAATCTCAGTTTACTATTATTTTATGCTGTGCTACTTTTACTTCAGATCGAAAGGGATGGAATCTTTTCTAAACAACTACTTCTATCATGTGAGTCAACTGAAAATATGCCAAAAAAATAAATAAATCATGAAATCTTTTCACTTTCTGTCTAAATGATCCGTTCGATTCTATAAATCAGGCAGTAATAAGGTAAGGGAGACTGATACAGCTACTGTCCTCTGTAAAGCCGTATATATTTGCATTCTGCAGGTGATGTTTCTCAAAATTACTGCTATGATAATGCTATAGGGTTTATTTTCTGTTTTAATGTAACTTATTCATGGTTTTGCTCATAACATACTTTAGGGCAATATAATTCCACACCAACAAAACTTACAGAATAAGTTTTATTTTTTTTTTCATTCTCATTATTTATTTTTTATCTTAATTCTTTTCTTCTGTTTCATCCCTAGCCGATAGATTATTGTAAAGAGCAACTCTAGCTCCTTTAGTAGAACCTCCTTGAATTTAACAACTACCCAGCCGAAGCCATTCACATACATACTGGCTTTAAGTCTAAAACTTGTTCTGCAGTTTGAACATTATTTGTTGGGTATATTGGTTACAAGATCTCTTAACAACAACTCAACAACTGTTATTGATTTCTAAGCTTGATTAAGAAATCCAAAATCGTTTGAGAATGCCTGGTTGATACTTGGGATTAGATTAAGAAACAGCAACTTTCCGCCGTAGTGATTAATCTCGATTAATCCAATACAATTTTGATTTGACTGACATCACTTACTTTTTTAGTTATGATAAAACCAAAAATGCCACAGAAGCATGAAGAAAAAGTCTTTCACTATGTGATGAAATATCTTCAAACACTTTAGAATCCGTATATCTGAGGATGATGAACTTTCTCCTTTTTTTTTATTTCCCAACTACCACAGAAGAACAATGCTGTTAAAAAAAAAAAAAACCTGATGGAATTTGTAATTGATTGTTTGTGTTTATAATGCATATGGACCGTATACCAACTCATGTAAACTGATGTGACAGTGCCTACACATCCATCCATGCAATCGGGTGTTAGTCGTTTCGACACATGTGTGTTTACACTTGCTAGCCCCTCAGTGAGCTCTGCAAACTATTTACAGCACTGGCAGGGTCTCTCTATTGTTGATTGCAATGGAAAGTATGGCTCATTGTAGCTGTTCTGTGGAAATCCAGCTCAGCACCTTTTTCCACGAAGGACTCTTGCACATTGCCTGCTCACACCTGAATCTTTAAGGAGATAAAAAGAAGAAAAAAAAAAAAAAAGTAACCCTTACTTTCCAGTGGTTAGAATCCATAAAGGAGATGGTGATTTGTTTTAGGTTTGACAAGAGGGATCTGGAGAAGGTAAATTATTGTACCCCCTCTCCAAGACCTCTGACCTTCATCATTAGAACCACATGTGCCCTATTTAGTCCCACTTTTTTCCCCTTCCGCTTATCTCCTTTGCTTCATCTTGGTCTCTTTTTTTTCTCTGTTCTGTGTCTTTCCGTCTTGCAGCCCTCCAAATATCCATGCCAAATTGCTTTTCAGTTTCTCTGTTTAAGTTTACTGAATTTTCCAACCTCCCGGCGCTTTCTGACAGACTCTCATGCTTGTCTCTCTCTGCTCCTCCTCGCCTCATTCTCTGGCCTGTGTTAGGGAGACATGAGGATGTAGTGCAGGGCTGTCAGGAATCGTTGGCCAAGCTGTTTGACGCGACCATATGATTCCCAGTTACCAACCCCCACCCCTGTCTTTCCTCATCGCTCAGCCTTCATCTCCCCAGCTTGGCTTTTTCACGTTACACTCTGGGAGGACGGTATTTCTCCAAGGTCTGTAGGATATGAGCGTCACCCTTACAGTAGAAGTTTTTTTCTTTTCTTCAAATGTACACTTAGGGAAATATGCTGCAGTTTACTTCAATGTTATAACTAGAGAATTTTGCAGAACACTGACCTGGGTTGCTGCAATTTGTTAGAACTAATTGCAGTCCATTGTTATAATTTGAAAAGATTCTCATACATGTTATTTAATTACTTTCTTTCACTCTGCTTAGGACCACTACAACATCACTAAAGCTTCATATCATGCTCTATTTTAATGAAATAT